AGCGCCCACCGCAGGTTTCTGTCTGTGGTAGGTTGAACCTCCAGCAGTGCAGGAGCTAGAACAGCCCATGCTGCTAGACTCACACATAGCCTCCATAGCTACTCCGTTCATGACCTTATTGTGCCAATACGAGGGTGGCCAAGGGCAGAGACTGGCTGAGGATAACTGGAAGAGTCATGCTGTTTGATTAGTTGATTAATGCCTGTTCTATGGGAGATGCTTTCTGCTGGGCATTAACGTAGGTTACAAAGATGTTCACACTCCATGCCCACTATCTTGATCCACTAGTCACATGCCTCTTTCCCACATACCTTCATCCCCAATCTTCCAGTGTTTTCTTTTCATGTCCCTGACCAACTGGCCAAGTTATTCACCATTGCCCACAAGCCTCTGTGCATCCTTGCCTTGGGCCATTTCTCTTTCTTCACAAAGTCGATGACTTGATATACTGCCTGATTCCATCCTTAGGAGGATACTCTTCACTGCAATCCCTGAGGGTCCCCTAATTGAGGCTACACTACAGTAACTGTCCATTTTTGTCTCGCATTTATATACCAACTGACCTGTCCATGAACCAAACAGCCCTTTTCCTCCTGTCAGCTAGTTATAGGGGCCCTCCATGTCATCTGTGGAGGGCTGACTCCAGGATGGCCCCATGATCCCTACCTCCAGGTGTTCACTGTCTTGGGTAATCCCCTTCCCTTCAGTGTAGGCAAGTCCTCTGACTTGCTTCTATCAGTGGAGTATGGCAAAGATGATGGGGTGCACATGAGTAGGTGTACTTGATACACTATATAAGATTGTAACACCCATCATGCAAGGACACTCCCTGTGCCTGTTTGCTGTGAAGAAGCAAGGGACCATGTTACAAGCTACCACATGGAAAGGGACATGTGACAAGGAGCTGAAGGGGGTCTCTGGCTAAGAGCCAACAAGAAGCTAAACTCCTCAGTGTGGCAGTCTGCAAGGAAGTGGCTTCTGATAATAACCACATGAGGCTGGAAGTGAATCTCTCCCCAGTTGATGCTCAGGTAATATCACAGCCTTGATTACAATGCTCAGATAGTATCAATGCCTTGATTACAGCTTTGTGAAAACCCAAGGAAAAGGACCCATCTAAGTTATGCCCCAAGCGCTGACCCACAAAAACTGTGAAATAATAAGTATGTGTTGTTTTCAGCTGCTAAATTTGTAGTAATATTGTTATGCAGCAGTAGAAAACTAATACACAGCCAGAAATGTCAGCTGAGAGAGGCACTGGTACAGAATGGTAGGCGACATGGGAGCCTGGGCCACTTGCTCGTGCAGGTCCCCATGCATTGCTGTTCCCAGGGTTACCACTTCCATTTTGTGATGGAATGCTGCTAGTTCCTCCCAACCTTGGTGAATTTGACAGAACCCAGCTCCTGGTGGGTAAATCTGGACATCTGGTCACTTAATGTCCCCTGGTTAGATGCTTAATCTATTCACCAGGGCTCAGTAGCACATGGGGATCTCTTCTCCAAATGATTCTCTGCTGCAGATGGCATAGATCTGCATCAAGACCCCAGGGCTTTATGTTGTGCTTCTACTCTTCTCCACATGACATCTTTTCTCATCACAGATAACTCTAATACCAGAGAGTCTACCTGGTTATACAGCCCACTGACCGTACTGCCCAAGCAGCAGTGATGCTTGCACGTCAGCCTGGGTCTGCTGGCAATTTTCCTTGTCACTAAGTGAGAGCAGTACTTCTAAATATGGAATATGCTGCCTCCAGAAACCAAAAGGACTGCTGGGCATTGTGCTTTCTTCTTAGTTGTGGGAGATAATAATTTGTCCTAATTTGGTGGGAATGGGAGAATATGTCCCAGCTTGCACCAAACCACTGGATCCCTAAGAACTTCCCTCATGTGATGGTCCCCTGAATCATCATTTAGCCTCTTTTCTGTCCTCTGGCTTGCATGTCTTACCCGGTCCTCCAGTATATTTGCCACTTCTTGCTTACCTGATCATTAATATAATACATGAATGTGTTTTTTTTGCAGAATGTCCAGATGGTCCAGATCCTTAAGACTATATTCTAGGAAAGGGCAGATTTAACATAGCTCAAAGGCAACATTGTGAATGTATATTTGTCCTGTCCCATGTGAATGTGAACTACGCTGATCATCCTTCCTAATGAGGATTGAAAAGAATACATTTATGAGATTGATGGCTACATACTCTGTCCAAAGCCATTTTAATGTGATCTAGCAAAGATACCATATCTGGCTCATAGCTGCAGTTGGGAGGCTACTACTTGGTTGAGTTTATGATAACCCACTGTTATCCTCCAGGATACACTTAGTGTTTGTAGGGGACATACTGTGTTAATGGAATGGGCCTATGATGAGGACCAGCATTCCTGCCTACTTCAGGTGTTTCAGGGTAGCACTAATATCTGCCATATCCCTTCATATGGTATTGTTTTTGATTTACTATCTTGGCTGGGAAGGGTAGAATGGTTTCAGGTGGATTCTACTTGGCATTCTCCACTATGATAGCCCTTATCCCACAGGCCAAGGAACCAATGTGGGTTCTACCAATACCTAAGCATGCCCATTCCATTATTCCTTTGGGAACCAGGGAAATTACCAGCAGATGAGCGTGTGGACTAGGTGAACCTACCATGAGCCAGACCTGAGTCAGAACTCCATTTATCCTATCCTTTATCCACCCCACTCCCAAGAGGGGAGTTATGAAGATGCTTTGGGCCCCTAGATATCTCAACTCAGACCATGTATCCAACAGTCCTTGAAAGGTTTTGTATTCCTCTTCCTTCAGTATATAGTTATATGACTAAAAGTCTTTGGAGAAGGACTAAGGAAAACATTACCTCATTTTTTTAAAATTTTTTTTTTTTGCCATGGTGTTTGCAGGGTTCTTTTTCGTGAGCTTCTCTGTCAGTCAATGGGATTTGGGTTGGAAAACCAATTCAGGTCTGGAAACTGAGAAAGTGATCAAGACTTTTTATTGTCGTGGCTGTCGTCAGCCTCCTGATCATCCATCTTGGGTTTATTTTGGTTCTGTAGATTGAGCAATACTCTCCTTTGCTGTTCATCTACCATGTCTCTCAGGATGCTATGCTGTATTAATCACCTCCCTAGCTCTGAGTCAGACCTCTCTGACTGCCTCTGACACTGCCACTCATAACAATTATACCTAGCTTACTTTTGAGAGTTAAGTATTGCCGTCTGGCTTCTGTTTTGGAATTCTATTGTCCCCATCAAAAAACCCTGCTCCATCCTAACATCTCCTACCAGTGGCCTTGGCCTTTGGAGGACAGCCCTCCACTGCTTCTTAACAATACTGGAGCCCCCCTCATTAGCACATCCCTTGTCACTTCGGACAAAAACACTGTATCCTAAGAACAGAGGAGGCTAGTAGCTTTTTGGCCTTACGTAGTATATCCTAGTCAAGTGTCTGATTTCTTCCCCCAGTGCTTGCCACCGCAGGGCATTTCTACTTAGTGTGGGTCACTGCTTTCTCCAAGTTTCCAAGGGACAACCAAATACTATCACCTGAACTCTTAGCCAGGATATTATATCCCACATCACAGGTTTTTCTCCCTTTTCCATCCAGCAGAGTACCATATATGCTCTCCTGCTTGTCAGTCAGTTTGTGTTAACCAGTCCTGCAGCTCCTTCAGCATGTAGTCCTTTTCTACCACTAGCCAGCCCAGCGTTTCTTCATCCTCACTATAGCTCTGGTGGTCGGGAGTGGAGAGTGGGGTACACCGCTGAGGGGTAAGGAGATATATGTATTGTGTTAGAAGGCAGAAACCTCTGCATCAAGCTTATACATATCTCCACAAGTGAAAAGCATCAGCCTTTAACAGGGAAGAATGGGCTACTTCTGTTATCAACAGCATTTAAAGAAGTATGGAAATTTAAGATTTTCAAATGCATCAACCCAGATGACCCTATTTCAAGTCCCAGCATCCCACTTTTTTTCCAGTGAGGACCTTGACCTTGGTGTCATAAGCTTTGTTAAAAGAAAAATGAATAAACATGTAAAATTAACAATGAATATCATGTTGAGATTATACCAAACAAATTTTATAGCCATTCATTTGGAGAAGACCCAGACCACCCTCGTCGGCTAGGGGAAAGGCGTGCAGCAAAGGCAGCATTTATTAGTATTTTTTAAGATTTTATTTATTTATTTGACAGAGAGAGAGAGAGCACAAGCAGGGGAGGCAACAGGGAGAGGGAGAAGCAGGGTCCCGCTGAGCAAGAAGCCCCATGCAGGGGCTCCATCCCAGGACCCCGGGATCACGACCAGAGCGAAGGCAGACGCCCCAGCAAAGGTAGCATTTAAAAAGGGTCAGATTTCAGTTAGATTTAAGAAAATTTCAGAACTAAAATAAGAAATGGGTAAAGATAAAAAGGGAGTCCTCAGACTTGCCTGGAGCCCACAGGGCATGTATCATGGCGGGGTTAAACATTATTATCAATCTTTTAATTTGTCTTGAGTGGTCTGCACCACCAGATTTCTGGGCAGAGTTCTGGGATTAGAAAATGACTATTATCCGCATGCCGAGATGCTCCCTCTCACCAATGGCCAGTTAGTAATAGAGGTATAAGCCATATGCGTTCAAAAGGGCAAAGACATCGTCTTCAGACGTCTCTAGCTTTAAAGCACAGTTTGCCAGGCGACGACGAAGCTGGAGGAAGAGGACAGGATAATCAGGGTGCCCTCTTCCGGCGAGGGGCCGACTCCACCCTCTCCATTCCGCACCTTTCTGTGGGGTGAAGCAGGTTTTTAGCCGAACTGTGTCGCGGCAGAAAAGTCTGTGAGACGCCCCAGGGCCACCAATGATGTCCACAGTACGGTACAGGGTCTGCACATTCGTGCCTAAAAAGAGAGCCGGCTTCCTGAAGCCCTCCGGGGACAGCGGGTACAGAAGCAGCGCACGCCGCCCCGCCCCCCACGTACGGGAGCAGCCGCAGACCCCTCCCCGTCCACGTTCGCTGAGCATGCCGGGTCCGCCGCCCCAGCCGCTCCTCCGCGTCTGTCGCGCTCAATCTCCCTTGTCCCGCGGCCTCCAGTCGGAGGAATGCACGACAACAGGTGGAACTCTATTTACACCTCCTTAGTCATTCTCGCTCCAGTCGAGGTGTCCCTAAAGCCCGTCTCACCTGTGCAAATAAAACGGCGTACGAGTTAGCGGCTCAGTGGACCAGGAGCGCGCGCGACGGGCCGGAAGTGACGCGCGCCGTGCCCGCGTATTCCCGCCCTGCCCTTCGCCTGCCGCTCGGTGGCGGGAACTGGGGCAACCGTGGTGACGGCGGCGAGTGTAAGTGTCACCGGGTGTGGCGGCTCGGGGCTTCCTAGGCCTGATAGTCTCACACCTGGGGACGGAGCTAGGACTTTGCGACCACCCCGCCCTTTCCCTATCCCGGAAGCCCCAGCGACGAGCCGGCGGCGTCCCCCCTCCGGAGACGAGAGGCTGAAAGGCCCAGGCAGTGCCCGGGAGTACGGGGAGCTTGGGATAACAGGTGACCAGCCCGAGAAATTGTGAGGGTAGCCTTCGTTTTCCTCAGCTCCTGCGCCCTTAATGCCCCTGCTATGTCTTCCCCTTCCGTACTGGTTCGCGCAATGGTAGCTCCGTACAGCATCTTTCAGAGCCCTGCTTTGGGCTGTAGTACTGTTTAGTAATTACTGCATCTGGCAGGGATGGAGTAATCCAGTAACGTTAAAAAGCTTGGCTGTTTACAATTATTAGCCATTCATTTACTGAGTATCCAAATGCCAAGCACAGAAGTACGTGTACACAGAAGTATGCTTTTTCTGTGTGTGTGTTTTTTTTAATTAAAGTGAGGTCTAATTGACATACAGTATTAGTTTCAGGTGTACAACAGTGATGAGACGTTTGTGAAATTATTGAGTATATACCCTATGCTGTACATTATATCCCATGACTTATTTATTTTATAAGTGGAAGTTTGTACTTCTTAACCCCTTTCCTCCTTTTTGCCCTCTCCCTTCTGACAAGCACTAGTCTGTTCTGTGTATCTACGAGTCTGGGTTTTTGTTTGCTTTGTTTTTTAGATTCCACATGTAAGTGAAATCATGCAGTGTTTGTCTTTCTGACTTGCCTATTTTAGTATAATACTTGCAGGGTCCATCCATGTTGCCACAAATGGCAAGATTTTATTCTTTTTTATGGCTGAGTATTACATGTGTGTATCACATCTTTATCCATTCATCCACTGATGAACACTTAGATTGTTTCCATAACTTGGCTGTTGTAAATAGTGCTGCACTGAACATAGGGGTGCATATATCTTTTTGAATTAGTGATTTTAGGTTTGTTTTTTTTTTTTTTTCCGGATAGATACCCAATACTGGAATTGCTGGATCATACAGTAGCTCTATTGTTAATATTTTGAGGAAACTCCATTTTGAGGAAACTGTTCATCATACTGTCTGCACCAGTTTACATTCCCACCAACAGAGCATGTGGGCTTTCACAATTCTTTTATTTAACTTTTATTTATTCTTTTATTAACTGCCTTACTGAATAGGCCTTAACTCCTTTTATAGCAGGGGAAGCTGAGTCTTATAAATGGTAATTCAGTCACCAAATATTATGGAGCATCTGTCGTGCACCAGTTACTGCTTTAGGCACTGGGGAAAAGCAGTGAAAAAAGTAGAATTGCCACTGATGCTGGGGATTTTCAGGCAAGCTAATGATGCTTTTCTATCCTTAAAACAGCCTTCTGCTGCCTAGAAGAAAGTTTACCTGAATGTTAATAGTAGTTATCTTCTGGGTAAGATTTTGTATGACTTTTTAAAACAACTCATACTTTTCTGCTTTGTTTTGATTTCTTCAGATGAGCATGTTATTAGCAAAAGAGTGGTTTCCATTTTAACAGCACAGCCCCCGGCCCAACCCTTCCCACAAAACAGGCTCTGAAGGCAGTCATTGGCTCTACCAGTAAAACAGGCCCTCAAGTGGAGCTCTAGGCCCAGGAAAAGAAATGAAAGTTCTTATTTGTGGTCCCAGCACTCCTCATTGCTAAGTCCATTCCAGGGTCTGAACTAGAGCTAGGTCCATGACTGGAATGGAAGAGACTAGATGCCCATGCACAATTTGGCCACTAATGACATCATATTTGTCAAAAAGTGAGGAACTCTTCAAATTTTTTCAGTCATAAGATTTATCTTTGATCTCTAACTCTCACTATAAATAGATTCTAAGTTCCTTAAGCACTTTGGCCTCTTTAATTGTCCCTATAGCTCTCAGTATGATACATTTAGGGGATGCTAGGTCATGAGGTGATGTCCTTTATTTAGTAAGTAATTATTGGAGTGTTTTTGCACAAGGTTAAGTGTGCTAGGTGTGCTTTCCCACTCTAATCTTTATTATTTCCTTCCTTCTGGTAGATTTGGGCTAGTCAATTTGGGTATGTGAATTATATTTTAAAAAATTCCTAGGTTTTTTCATCTTTATTATTTTGATTCATGCATACCTCAGTATTTGTAATAATTCATCCACGTAACTATCACATACAATAACTTAAGTTCCTTAAAACATGGTAAAATTATTAAACCTTACATTATATAACAGTGATATATATGGTATACTCAAGAACTGTATGCAGAATATTAGTTCTTAAAATTGATTTCTGAAAATCATCTACTGTAATTCTACTTTAAAACCTATAATTCTACTTTAAAATCTTTTAATGTAAATGAGAGAGTGCTTGCTTTGGCAGCACATATAGTAGAGTAAATGAAAGAATGAATTATTTTTCTGTTTTGCTT